GGCGTGACCATCCCCCCTGGGGGGTGATTTCTCGCTTTCTGTCTCTATGTCTCTCTCTGTCTGTCTGGCGAGCACATGCGCCCTGTAGTGAAAAAAACCTCTCCAGAAAAAAAAAATCTACATATTTAATTTAATGCCAATCAAAGTACTAGACACATTCTTCACAGATCTAGGAAAGACAATCATAAAGTTTGTCTGCATTATATTCTTAATGTAATGAGAAATCAAATGGAAATTTTGAGCAGGGAAAAGTCATAATATGACATGAATATTAAAAGCACTATTCTAGATGCTGAGAGAAAATAAACAGTAGAGGGTAGAAGAGAAAGAGAAAGCAGAGAAAGTAAATTGTGAGACTTTACACCCAACAGGAAACAATTCCTCTTTAGGTGTCAAAATGATCGGGGCCGTCAAGTGGCATGGTGGTTAAGGGCACTGGACTCCCACATGGCCAACCGCGGTTCAAGTCTCAGACCTGGTGGCTTGCTTTCTCACTTCCTCTCTCTCTCTGTCTCTCTCTGATCAAACTGGAAAATAATAATGATAATAATAATAAAGTTAAAATAATTCTTTAAAAAAAATGATCATACTCAGTAAATTTCAACCTTCTCACTTATGACACTAAGGGACTCATTCTTAGCCTGGCTCCATAGTGCAGTGGAGCTGGATCTCACATTACACAGTAGTTTGAGTCCTGGATCAGGCATATTGAAACATGCCAAGTGCCTGTGTATGTCCCAAATTTTGATGGGATGGAGAAATTAAGGAAAAGGTTTTGAGGTGTGAACAACCCCCTTGGGGGTGCTTACTCTCTTTAACTTCCTTCCTCTCTCTCTCTCCCTGGCAAGTGCATGTGCCTTCTGGCAATTAACATTTTCAAAAATATATGGACTTAGTCTCATTTTTCATGCTAGAAAATATTTCATTGTTCTTGCTAACATTTTACTTTCAACTATCAAAATATCTGTAAATCAGAAAGTCACTAATTAAAATCTCAGATTTTCATGATGACCCAGTGAAAATATGCAACTTCTAAGACAATGCATTGGTATTTATTTTGAATTAAATAAATTTTCATGAGCTTGAAATACCATAATAAATTAATATTTTCAATGTTGGTATTTTTGTTTTTCCCTCAGATATAAAGAGAATATAATGAAATTATCAAGAATTCATCATGATCAGCCAATGAAGCCCCTGGATCGAGCAGTCTTCTGGATTGAGTTTGTCATGCGCCACAAAGGAGCCAAGCACCTCAGGGTTGCTGCCCACGACCTCACCTGGTTCCAGTACCACTCTCTGGATGTGATCGGGTTCCTGCTGGCATGTGCAGCAACTGTGATATTCATCATCTTAAAATGTTGTCTTTTTTGTTGCAGGCTGTTTACTAAAAAAGGAAAGAAGGAAAAAAGACAATAATTGCATCTGAGGCCTGAAGCTGGGATTCTGTAATAAATAGATGGGATTGTCTCAGGTCATTCCCTCTAGAAGAGGGTTCAATGTAAGATTCTCCTCCTTCAATGACAAAGCACCTTTGCACAATTTACCTCCTCAAGTAAAAATTTGTTTTAGGAACATTCACTTGTAGGAGAGATAGAAATATTTTGTGCCTAAGAGGAAAATAAAGTGAAAAAGTAAAATGATTGATATTCACATCTATTCTAATTCACAAAACATACCAAAAATTGTTAAACTTTGTTATTTATAAATGTGTTTTATGCGAACATAAGAATGTTAAGAAGTCAACTCACAATGTCACTACTGATTTGCAAATACTCAAAATTCTTCATGTCGGTGTAGAATTTGGAACTTTTAACTATCCTGGAAAATATTAAAAGTTAAAATTATATAAAGACACT